AGCGATTAGTATCAATATATAAGGCATCGATCCAAATAGGGGAAATGCCTAGCTTTGATTCTTAGTGAATAAACTGTATTATCTGTGTGGATACATTATCGGTGGAGCACCTGTTCGATACTCCAGTCATCGTAAATAAAAGCCAAGCGAATAAAGACCGATAGGAAAGTCAAAGTAGAACACGTAGTGTTGATAAACTACGTGACACTACTAAGGTAAGATTAACATGACTATGTTAGCATAGTTATGGAAGGAGACAAATACGGAAGTGAAGAGACACAGGAAAAATTAATCGTTCAGTAAATTTACCGTAATTTACCGAATGGAGGTAATTTACCAAAAAATTTAAAATTACGGTAATTTAACAACCCTGTTTACAGTATGTTATACAGATTGCATAATTCATCATGCGATATAATGTTGAATTATGTTATGCAAGGCCAAAAAAACTTGCATTTGCAAATCTCTAATTAGGATGTTCTATAAGAATATTTCTTTATTATGAGAAAGATCAAAAGGGCATCCAACTTCTAATCTTTATTAAAGGTTTTTGGGCTTTCTTTAAATTCATGATTTCAGATAAGCATTTATAAATTCATACTCATACTAGCAGTTAACAGATCCTAAATGAATATATTTTCATACTAAATTAATAACCCCCGACTATCATCTTTATATCGTAACACCCGAGTAGCGATATTGATAGTGTTAATGCTAAAAATGGTAATGATTATGTGATACATATGAAAAAGTATCTAATCAAAAGTATTATCTGTACAGAACACTTCGCGCTAGGACCGACGATTTTGATTTATAAAGATAATATATACGAATTATCTCATTCATCAGCATTTGGGGTTCTATCATCGGTATATAGTGTTAATCACTAATTAAGATCTTTTAGTGCACAGCAGATCAACGATAATTTAATAGTAGAAACATGGAAAGTTCAAGCTGCAATAACTCTTGAAGCAGCAAATCCACACAAATAAAATTATATTTGCCAGGTTTTTCATAATGTTCTCTTTAACGTGACAATGCTCTTTTTTTTTTATTTTTATTGCCTGGAATGTTGCGAGGGGGGAATAATGTAATGCAAAAATTCTCGGTTTTGATTTATTAATATTAATAAAAATATCAAAACGTAAATTTGGATTTCCTGCGCATATTGTGACAATATGTAATAACTACGTTTTTTAATATTTTTATTATTAAAAAATAAAAAAAAGAGCGTTATCACGTTAAAAAGTATATTATGGCAAACTCGACAAATGTAATTTTATTTGTGTGGGTTTGCTGCTTCAAGAGTTATTGCAGCTTGAACTTTCTATGTTTTTACTATTGAATTATCGTTGATCTACAGTACACTATAATAAATCTTAATTAGTGATTAACACTACACGACCTGCACTATGCTTGTAATTAGACTGATTATAGACACCTTCAGACATGCATTCCGTTTCGCGCATCCGATTTACTTATTTGTACGGATGAAATAAGCCAAAAAAGGAAATCAAAATTTGTACATAAATTAAGTGCGTAAAATAGAAGTTTAGAGTTAGGACGTTAGGGTTTTTCTTCTTCTTTCGTATGTGTTCGGATTCTATGTTGGGCTGATCGGGAATACCCGAAATTTGTGTTCTCTGATTACCTATTTCCTTTTTAAAGGCTTGTATTACCTGCGCTATCGGCTAAATTATCTAAAAACTTATAAATATGCCTTCTTTATGCTGCTTTGCGCTCAATTTATTTCTCAAAAAAAAAAAAAAAAAAAAAATTAAATAAGTAAATGAAATAAGAAAGTAGTAAAACAAAAGAAAATAAATAAAAATAAAAAATGAATCCCTCTGAAGGAAAACATTTTACTTTTGACAAAATTCCTGATCTGACTGGAAAAGTAAGATTATTATTATCATCTGATTAGTTGAATATAAAATATCAGGTTATAGAATTTTTCTTGTTTATATATTATCTCTAGGTTGCAATCGTTACAGGAGGAAATTCCGGAATAGGTTATATTACCTGTAGAGAATTGGCCAGAAAAAATGCTCATGTGTTCATGTTAGGTCGGAATATCGAGAGATGTCAGACTGCCATTGAAAAAATCAAATCAGAGACTGGTAATAGAGAAATTGAATTTTTACAATTGGATTTAAGGAGTTTAAAATCCGTTAAAGAATGTGCTGAAAAATTTTTAACAAGAAATTTACCATTGCACATTCTGTAAGTTCTATTATAATATAATAGTATTATATAATAGTTTAAATAGTTAGAAATATTTAGCCCAATTACTGATTGTTTGATCCTTTTTATCAGAATTAACAATGCGGGAATCACAACAACGTAAGTAATAATGTTAAAATTCTAATTTCTTTTCATTTGTTACTATAAGAGCATCTTTAATAAATAAGTTAATAAATATTATATATAGTACATTTTCATTTACTGAGGATGGAATTCAAGAGGAATTTGGAGTCAATCATGTTGGACACTTTGTAAGTAAAACAAACAAACGGTCCAATAAATCATTAAATCGCAATCAAATAAAAAATTTATAACTATTTTTTTTTTTTTGTATTGTTAGCTTTTTACTAAATTGTTATTACCAAATATTAAAGCTTCACAACCATCTCGTATAGTTAATCTTAGCAGTATTGGTCATACAATTGCTCAGGGTGGAATTGAATTCGAGAAATTAAATGATCCAAATGCACAGGATTCGATGCAGCGTTATGTACAAACAAAACTTGCAAATATTTTATTTACTAACGAATTAAATAAACGATATCTTGAAGGAGAACGAGTATATGCTAACTCTCTTCATCCAGGTATAATAAAAATTTTCAGAATTAACTAAACTAAAAATATTAATTAACCAATTTATTTTATTTATTATTTCTTCCATCTACCGCATTTTAGGTCTCGTGGATACCAATATGTTAAGAAGAAACGATATATCTCTCCCAGAAAATTATGTTTCTTCTGCAATTTCACCTGAAGATGGAGCTATTACTACCTTATATTGTGCTACCAGCCCAGAAATAGAAGAGAAAAATTACCGCGGAAGGTATTTTGATCCATATGGTATAGAAGGTGAAAAATCTTCATACGCTAAAGATGATGATTTGGCCAAAAGACTTTGGGAATTTACGGAGAATTTGATAAGCGAAAAATTATTGCAAAAATAATTTATTTGGTTATTAATTTATTGCATAATTTTGAATATCAGTATTCAGGTATATTTGGTAAAATAGATGGCCTTTTTTCATTTAAATGATACAACCTATCATTACATTTAGCGGATATCCAGTAAATTAATATTTTTAAACTGCAAATATTAAATTCTTTATTATATCATACAAAAATATTAGGTTGATTGCTTCATTAAGTGTGATGTCTCCTAAAATTTTATCTACAGGCATAAAATGTAAACTTCATAATAAAAAGTGAGCTATTTAATTTTAAAACAAAACTTGAAGTATTAAATGTAATCTAACAAGATTAAAATATAAGATTTTATATTATAAGTATTTAGAGGTACAAATATTGTTTGATACGGCAATTAGAGCATTGCTTATTTCCTGTGAGTTAATAATTTTACTAATATACATTTTGTCTGGATGTTTTCACATTATAGTTGACAAGGTTTTAATAGCCTCATCAGTAGCCAAAAATTTCTTTCTATACCAAGTTTATCATTGTTTTTTAAGACCTTTAATATATTTCCATTGGTTATAAAGGTTTAAGCAATATTATCTGCTATGGATCGCTTTTATGGATCTTGATCCATGCATTTTTTAACCAATTCAATATAGCATTCAGGATTTCCGGGTGCAAAATACTTGTCCAAATCTTACTAAAGTTATAAAGCAAACTAATGACAATAAAAAGATCTCTACCCACTTGATAATTCAGCCATAATAACTATCAACTACTGGGGTATGTAACTTTTCCAGGAACGTTAGTGTATGGTTTTATTGGCATCTAAATCGAAGGCAAAATCTTAAAGCTGATTGGTGTACATTTTTTCTCATGTTCATTGCCTGTTTTATGTAACATAAAATTTCTAAGGTTAAAGCGAAGTGAAATTTAGTTAGGGTCAGTGTTATCTTCTTGATGCAGTTAGTGTCAAGAATGCGGCGTTTATGTGCATGTAGATCATGTATTAATTAACTCTCACTTTCTGTTTAAACTTATCGTAAATTGGTCATAAAATGATTATATCGCTAAAATTCGTTCTTCCTTAGTATATGATTGGCATACATGTGCCGCGCAGCGGCACATGTATGCCAATCATTTACTTTGAAGGAGTGATATACTGATGTCATTTGTAATGACTTTATAATTACGATCAATGGCTTGCAATTTAAAGTAAAATCGTTTTAGCATTCGATTATCAAAAAATAATTCATACAGTAATACTGTACCAGTATGATCACATGAAATGCGAGAAAGATGGTTCCTTTCAACTTTTTTGATGTCACTACGTTGATTTTTCATTTATTCATTTTAGAAAGTGTTCAATATTTTCATTACATTATTATGATAATATTTTTACATAACTAAGCCATTATTATAATGCAATTACGTGCGTACATGCGTACATGCATACGTATGGCTGTGTGTAAATAATAATCATGAGAAAAAAAATACCTATTTAATTTTGAGACAGTCTATCGACACAGTATCCACATGATTTATCTTTCTTATTGGCACAGCAATTAATATTTACATTTGATTTACCGGTTTAATCACCCGAATTATTAATCATGTCAACTTATTTGAACTGTTAAAAACCTTAACTATGAATTATTGAAATAAAAATAAGTTTGTACCAGACTTTTCAATAGTACAGTAGTAGCTCATGTTAATTTCGATGCAAACTAACTCAATTACATGCTGAAATTGCAGAATACAAGGTTTGTAAATTTTTTTATAGTAATCACAATAATTTCAATACAAACTAACTTAGTATTAACTAACAATTTGTAATGCAAGTGTAAGGATCGATGAATAGACTACAATTAAACCTAAAAGTAACAAACATAGGCTCTACGGATCTACCATTAGACAACAAAGTATTGAGTAACCATGACTAAGTCCATCATAAAGATCAGCATTCACACAATAGAACTTATTATCACCCTTTTTAATTTAGTTGGATTTGATCAGTTTGTGATTTTTTGTGAGCTCAGTAAGGCCCG